AAATGATTGTGCAAAGCAGAATATCCTGAAATTGATTGAAGTCTTCGCATGACACCATCAATGCGACACATCTTATGTAGAAATCTTTAACGGCTTTATTGCATTTGGCGAAGCATTTTAATCTGCAACATATTTGGATGAGATGTGCTACGTCGACTCGGATGTATGTTTTTATAACACGCTTTCTGTTCATTTCATTATTAGTTAATAATTCAAAACATATTTGAATGTACTCTTTCAACGTCATGGTATTAAAAGACAACATCATGGCTCCCAATAGTGCTTTAGAATAGTCTGAAACAGCTTCTTTAGGAACAGTTTTAATTAATTTTACCCAGTTAAGTAACCAATAAGAAATACTTATTGTATCCTGTGCTGCTGACAGCATCTGACCTACACTCAGGGTGATGTTACTAAAATTTATCACAATTTCATATAAAAATATTGTAGGTGATTTAATTCCGTCAGGTAAGTCGATCTTTTTTACGAGACTGCCAGTACTGTCAATTGATATTGTAGCTCTATCTGCATATAAACGGCTGTACTCTTTATAAACAAATATTTGCTGCTGTAGTAAATATTGAACTTGAAATTTACTTGCAGAAATATGTCGGATAGAACCACAATAGGGTGTTCTATTTTGGAGCATTAAAAAGATGGTTAGAGGATCAGTACCTTCTTTTGGATCAACATTTAATTCCTTGTCTTTTAACTCCTGTAGAACTTTTCTTAAAACTTCGTTTTTATAAAGAATAGGAGCAGGAATGTCACCTATATTCTGCATTTCTGCAGCAATTTTTCGACGGGTGTTTGCAGCACCATCCTTTAAAACCATTTTTCCTATTTCTTCACGTTTTCGAAATCGCAATTGACGTTTCACTTCATCATGATCTTTTAACCTAGTGTCGACACATTTAACTTGTAGCCACAAATCTGATTCTCCAATCGGCCTTTCTTTTGCCACAGCAACGAATCTATTACTGCATTTCTTACTTTTGCATTTTCCAATTATAGTAAGATATGCATTATTACCATCTTCAGATTTAGAAATGAAATGTTTTTTAAACGAAAATGCGCACGGCATCCTGTATTGCTTCCAGAATTCGTCAGCAATTATATCGGTCCACACTCCGGGTGCTAAAACTAAATCTTCCCTACCATTGTAATTTTTTAAAACGGGTTGCATTTCTTTCCACAATTTTTGATGAATAATTAAATCAAAAATTTCTTCGCCATCTAATAATGGAGCAGAAAACTGCGACGAATAATTTGAATGTCCACTTTTATCTGTTTTTTCATTATCACCTGAAAAGCTGTTTGCATCTGAAGAATTAGAAATGGTAGGTGATTCTTTTTTCAATATGTTTTCAATGCCCAATATTTCGAAAACTTTAGTCTGCAGTTCTCTTCTATTTTCTTTTAAATTAATATAAACATTATGTCTATTCCATTTGTTTTCTAAAGCTTGTGCAACTTTAGTGTAAAAGTCATCAGTATATGCTGGTAGTTTACCATCTTTTAATTCATTTCCGAAAATACAAATGGCATCAATTGCAGCAGATACTTCTACTTTGGATTTTCGCGGCATCTAAATAAACAAAAACAATTATAAATTTCATTTTTACATTATTATATAAAACTATTTTACAATTTATATCTACACTCTAAATTTTAAGCTTATAGATGTATTTTTTTAAATAAATATTAAGTATATTTTACAAATGTTCTTATTTTACAAAATTCAAATTTTGTTTGTAAATATAATTATAAAAACTAAAATTTCATAATAAATATGTAAAAAATTCACTTATTACATATAGGTGATTCTCAGCGTGGCGCATAATTTAATGTCCCTCGTATTATTTAAGAAATTAGTTGCACATAATTTTATGAACTCAACGTAAGAAACTAATTTCTATGTTTAGAAACAAAAGCCAATTATCGTTTTCATTAAAAATTTTATAATTTATTTTTAAAAGCGGGTTTAAGGTACAAAACGTCATGGTACAGCCTTCAATATATTTCGCAAAAAAAGATAATAATTGAACCTCCCAATTCTATAACTCGTTTAGCGCTCGGCCGGACGCTCTATTGGTAGTCAGGTAGCTGCAAGGGAGCCATTGACGCTCCCTGCTACCCGACTACTAATAGAGCGTCCGGCCGAGCGCTAAACGAGTTATAGAATTGGGAGGTTCAATTATTAATATTTTACGTCAACTAAAGTGTAGTAGTATTAGTTTAGTAAAAATAAAGGACCTGAATATGAAACAGAATGAAAATCGCTAATTGTTTGAAAAATCAGTTTTTCTTCTGCGTTATGAATATTTTGTCAGGTTTACCACGGATATTTTATTCTTGACCACAAACCTTGCAGATTATAATTTAATTTTTGTTTAAAACAAAAATTTTTAATATTAGCAATAACTAAATTGTGCGTTTCGCGAAGAATCACCTATGTACACTTTTAATCAGAACACCTTGCAATTTTAATAAAAGGAAAATTGTATGTGTATCTTATTTATTTTAAAACTTTTTGAAATAGGACATTAATATTTTCGAACATATGTATATATATATAAAAATGGTTAAAAAAATCCAGCATTATTCAAAAGTTAAAAAAAATTAATTTTTGTCTTTTGGCTTACTTTTTACAAAAGAAAATATATTATTTAAATACTCTGATTAAAGATACAGAAGCAACATAAGCATCAATGATTTGTATCGAAAGTTAACCATCTTTCTTATTTTTACTCTAAATCTTTGTTCTATGTATTTTTACATCGATATGACATAAACACAAAAAGTTTTATTACTAATTATAACATTATTTTTGTAAACATTACCTTTAAAATTTTGAGCAGCTTCAGAACTAATAAGGTAGATAAGAGTTGCACGTGTCGTAGAATTTGTCAAATACAACTTTTTAAAGTCTATAAATTACAAAAACAATAAATTGAAATTTGAAAAAACAATATATAAAACGAAACCAACAGTTTTTGTTATTAATTAAATATATTATACTTACCATAAAAACTATCAAATTCTATAAACTTCATTACTATAGCATAATGTACAAGGCCATTTTTTGACCATCAGCAAAGACACCGAAATTAATCACATATTGAATAAATAATTGATTATTATAAAAAAGTAATAATATAAATAAGAAATGCACTTGATAAATAATATTAAACCATTAATTGATAGAATAAACTTTAACGTCAAAATTGTTTAAACGTATCTAAAACACATCAGATAAAGGGAAACCCAAAAGAGATGAAATATTAAAGGCTGATTCATAGACACACTTTTCTTACAGCAGCATTTACATGAAAAGCATAAAGGCGATTAGCAGGGTTGCTCAATTACGCGTAACTCAGAATAAGGCCTGAGCAGAATATAAACGTAACCGTAATCGCAAACGGAAGAATGCGTTAGAGAAGGATAGTAGGAGAAGGATAGATATTGTTGTTCTTCTCTTACTAATTCTTCCGTTTGCGATTACGATATCGGTACGTTTCTCTTGTGCTATAGGCCTTAACACTGGCGCGCGCGGACATAAAATCTTTGACATTTAATATCTCGAAAATAAAAAAAATTGGCATTCTGAAAATTTATATACAGATCTATGTTATTTACCTGAGGTATATTACATTCGCAACCCTGGCTTGCAATGTTAAGTTGTGTGTGCGCACTATGGGTGTTTTCGGTAGTTGCTGTGAGTATACTGTCAGTATATTGTGATTGGCTGATCCATTAGCATGCTTATTCTGATTGGGTAATTTTTTACTGTCAGTATACTGTCAGCAACTCCCGAAAACACCCTATATGTTCTTTCCATTTCTATTACAATAACTATGGCCATTTAGTTTAAGGCCAACGCACAATAGTTCGCAAATGAGATGCATGAGATAGAAAAGGATACGAATATATCTATGCCCCTTTCTAACTCATGTTTCACGTCCCCGAATATATTTTGCGAAAAAATTCTTCTTATGCCTTTCGAAAACAAGTAATTTAAAAAAACTTCGTAATTTCTCATAACTTCTAAGAGAAGAACGTGCCAGTAATCCATCTGCAATTTACCGCAATCCTCTTTCTCTTCTTGACGTAAGTTAAGAAGCTCTCACACCTTTTTAGCTGCATGCAGGCAGCCATTATCGTTTATATAAAGGCCTAAGCAGAATAGCTTCGCGAAAGACGTTCGCGAACGTGACACATGAGTTAAAACAGGACAGAGATATATTCGTATCCTTTTCTATCTCATGCATCTCGTTTGCAAACAACTTTCGCGAACCTATTGTGCGTTGGCCTTAACACTAGACTGAGCCTTTAGTTTAGACGTGAATAATGTACCTCTTGTAGAACAACCAAATAATGCGAAAAAATTAAAATCATATTTTAAAATATATTTTATAAGTGCAAAGGTGTAAGGAATAAATTATCAGTAAAATATAATTAAATCGTATATTAATGCTTTAATCTTCATTTCTGCCCTCCACAACTGCATTCATAACAAACAATTTTACAATTATGATTTTAAACGTCTGTGTCAGTCAGGGATTGTAGGGAAAAAAGAAATTTTGAAAAACGATAATTTCTCTTGCAGAACTCAAAGAAAAAAAAAATTTTTTTAATAGTTAATTAATTAACAATTTCATTTTTTAATACCAAACGATGAAAAAGCAATACCAAACGTCTGTGTCAGTCAGGGATTGTAGGGAAAAAAGAAATTTTGAAAAACGATAATTTCTCTTGCAGCACTCAAAGAAAAAAAAATTTTTCTCATTTTTAGTTAATTAACAATTTAATTTTTTAATACCAAACGATGAAAATGCAATACCAAACGTCTGTGTCAGTCAAGGATTGTAGGGAAAAAAGAAATTCTGAAAAACGATAATTTCTCTTGCAGCACTCAAAGAAAAAAAATTTTTTTTAATAGTTAATTAATTAACAATTTAATTTTTTAATATCAAACGATGAAATTGCAATACCAAACGTCTGTGTCAGTCAGGGATTGTAGGGAAAAAAGAAATTTTGAAAACCGATAATTTCTCTTGCAGCACTCAAAGAAAAAAAAATTTTTCTCATTTTTAGTTAATTAACAATTTAATTTTTTAATACCAAACGATGAAAATGCAATACCAAACGTCTGTGTCAGTCAGGGATTGTAGGGAAAAAAGAAATTTTGAAAACCGATAATTTCTCTTGCAGCACTCAAAGAAAAAAAAATTTTTCTCATTTTTAGTTAATTAACAATTTAATTTTTTAATACCAAACGATGAAAATGCAATACCAAACGTCTGTGTCAGTCAGGGATTGTAGGGAAAAAAGAAATTTTGAAAACCGATAATTTCTCTTGCAGCACTCAAAGAAAAAAAAATTTTTCTCATTTTTAGTTAATTAACAATTTAATTTTTTAATACCAAACGATGAAAAAGCAATACCAAACGTCTGTGTCAGTCAGGGATTGTAGGGAAAAAAGAAATTTTGAAAAACGATAATTTCTCTTGCAGCACTCAAAGAAAAAAAAAATTTTTTTAATAGTTAATTAATTAACAATTTAATTTTTTAATACCAAACGATGAAAAAGCAATACCAAACGTCTGTGTCAGTCAGGGATTGTAGGGAAAAAAGAAATTTTGAAAAACGATAATTTCTCTTGCAGCACTCAAAGAAAAAAAAATTTTTTTTAATAGTTAATTAATTAACAATTTAATTTTTTAATATCAAACGATGAAATTGCAATACCAAACGTCTGTGTCAGTCAGGGATTGTAGGGAAAAAAGAAATTTTGAAAACCGATAATTTCTCTTGCAGCACTCAAAGAAAAAAAAATTTTTCTCATTTTTAGTTAATTAACAATTTAATTTTTTAATACCAAACGATGAAAAAGCAATACCAAACGTCTGTGTCAGTCAGGGATTGTAGGGAAAAAAGAAATTTTGAAAAACGATAATTTCTCTTGCAGCACTCAAAGAAAAAAAAATTTTTTTTAATAGTTAATTAATTAACAATTTAATTTTTTAATACCAAACGATGAAAATTCAATACCAAACGTCTGTGTCAGTCAGGGATTGTAGGGAAAAAAGAAATTTTGAAAAACGATAATTTCTCTTGCAGCACTCAAAGAAAAAAAATTTTTTCTCATTTTTAGTTAATTAACAATTTAATTTTTTAATACCAAACGATGAAAATTCAATACCAAACGTCTGTGTCAGTCAGGGATTGTAGGGAAAAAAGAAATTTTGAAAAACGATAATTTCTCTTGCAGCACTCAAAGAAAAAAAAAATTTTTTTACTAGTTAATTAATTAACAATTTCATTTTTTAATACCAAACGATGAAAAAGCAATACCAAACGTCTATGTCAGTCAGGGATTGTAGGGAAAAAAGAAATTTTGAAAAACGATAATTTCTCTTGCAGCACTCAAAGAAAAAAAATTTTTTTTTAATATTTAATTAATTGACAATTTCATTATTTAATACCAAACGATGAAAAAGCAATACCAAACGTCTGTGTCAGTCAGGGATTGTAGGGAAAAAAGAAATTTTGAAAACCGATAATTTCTCTTGCAGCACTCAAAGAAAAAAAATTTTTTCTCATTTTTAGTTAATTAACAATTTAATTTTTTAATACCAAACGATGAAAATGCAATACCAAACGTCTGTGTCAGTCAGGGATTGTAGGGAAAAAAGAAATTTTGAAAAACGATAATTTCTCTTGCAGCACTCAAAGAAAAAAAAAATTTTTTTAATAGTTAATTAATTAACAATTTAATTTTTTAATACCAAACGATGAAAAAGCAATACCAAACGTCTGTGTCAGTCAGGGATTGTAGGGAAAAAAGAAATTTTGAAAAACGATAATTTCTCTTGCAGCACTCAAAGAAAAAAAAATTTTTTTTAATAGTTAATTAATTAACAATTTAATTTTTTAATACCAAACGATGAAAAAGCAATACCAAACGTCTGTGTCAGTCAGGGATTGTAGGGAAAAAAGAAATTTTGAAAAACGATAATTTCTCTTGCAGCACTTAAAGAAAATATTTTTATTTTTTTAAGAACTTAATGTGACGAATTATACAAAATATTTTTTTTTTATTAAGAGAATTGAATTTATTTAATTTTTATCTTTATACATGTATTTGATTTAACCAAAGTGGTGTTAAACAAATTGTTCTGCATTTAAATTTTGCCGGCAATTCATAATGGCTGACCGTCATGCGCATGCGTAATGTTGAATAGCATGACAGTCCTGTTCATCATTGTACATTTATTTTTATGTTATATTTTAGTTTTTTTTTACTACCAAACATCAGAAAGTAGATACCAATCACTACCAAACAACTACCAAACGTTACCACTTTGAATTATCTTAAAAAATTGTATAGTGTAGTGCTACCGTGAAGTTAGCACTTTGAACTTAAAATTTAAATAACTTTTTTAATATTTACTACCAAACAATTAAAACTGATTACCATACACTACCATACGATTACCAAACGATTTGATATAGTTTAATAATGATTTAATGAGTTTGCGGTGCCAACTTCACGTCGCTTTTAATATATTAACTGTCAAACTTTCATTGTTTATCTGACGAACGGAAGTAGATGGCGCTGTAAACATTTGTCAATTTTCAAATAATGTCACAAACGATCGTTCCTATTGGATATTTTTCAAATTTGCTCGCAAATAAACAGCCAATTAGCGCGATCGTTTTTAAAACGCGCCTTAAAGTTGTTGGTTATGTTTATGTTATTGTTTACATAAATTATTTTTATATATTGAATGTTTCTATTGAAAACAAATGACAGTAAAAAATTAGAAAGTCAATGACCGAGAAGAAAAGAGTTCTTATGGTGTGTTTAGGTAAAATTATTTAAAATTAGTTATATGGGAGAGAAAACAATTTTTTTCGACAGAAAAAATGTCATAACAGAGCAATTCTTATTGTTTTGTTTTCTTTTTGGTTAGAAATGAGTGATTTATTATTACTAAGTAACTTTCATTATATTCAACAGGTAATACATGTAGATCAACGATCGCTGAAGCTGTATTTAAAAATTATGCCAAAAAAATGAATTATTTATGGGATGTTGACAGTGCTGGTTTGAGAGGTTATCATATTGGCGAAGGTCCTAATCAAAGAACTTTAGATATTCTTGCAAAAAATGGCATAGAAAATTATTATCACATTGCAAAAGTCGTAAGTAAATAAAAAAATTAAACCACAATAATAAACAATAAATAATAAAATAATTTAAATTAAACGGAGTAAAATTTGTTATTAGATTTTGAAATAAATATTTTATACAAAAATAAATTATTTTATACATTAATTAAATTATTTTAGATTAAAAATCAAGATTTTGAAGATTTTGATTGGATACTGGGAATGGATGAATATAATTTGTCACGTTTAAAAGAATTACAACCAAAAAATTGTCGAGCAAAAGTTGAACTTCTTGGAAAATATCATCCAAATGGAGAAATAATTATTGAAGATCCTTATTTTGTAAGAATAAATTAATTAACAAATTTTGATTGGAATTTTAATTCATTAACATATAATTTTTTATTATTACAGGAAAATGATGTTACCAGTTTTCAGACAGTTTACGAACAATGTGTCGCATGTATTAAACATTTCTTGGAGCAAAAAAATTAAAATTAATGTTTTATGATCTAGTCATTAATTAAATACAAAGTGATAAATAGTGAGTGGTTTTAAATTGTTTTTTTTTTTTATATTTATTTAAATGATTAAATTTTTATAAATACTCAACTTCTTTGAATTATAAAATAATATATTTAATTCATAGAAATATTATTTTTTTAATTAAAAAATTATTGATGTAAAGAGAATAAATTTATAAAATTAAAATCCTTTTTTAAATAATAATAGAATAGAAATTAGTAATATTGATCAATTAATTAAAAAACAATTATTTAAATACAGCGCGCTAAAAACAACAAGTCTGCGCAAGCGCCTTTTGAATTTAAATGGAAAAATTCCCGCCGGTTACAACCGCTGTAATTTCCTAACCTAACAAAAAAAAGTAATACATGCGGAAAGTGCGTAGTATTGTGTCCGGTTATATTTTCCTAAAATAATTTTAATGAATAGTATATAAAAGAAAGTTACTTCATAATGTCGAGAGTAAAAAGGCTTAGTATTCGTGGTATTCGAAATTTTAGCGATGAAAAAGAATCTGAACCAATAGTATTTACACGACCTATGACTCTTATTCTTGGTCCCAATGGAACAGGAAAAACCACAATTATTGAATGTCTTAAATATGCCACAACCGGTGATTTTCCACCGGGTACAGAAAGTGGAAAATGTTTTATTTTTGATCCAAAATTAACAAATGGAACTACCGTAAGTATTTATTAATTTATAATTTATTTCATCTCGTTAAGAATTTAAATTTATATAAAGATTTGACGATAGGTACGAGGAGTGATAAAAGCTGAAATTATTGATAAAAAAGGTGATTCAGTAGTGGTGTCAAAAACAGTCGAGTGTGTTCAACAACCAAAATCTATGAAATTAAAATCGTTAGATTCAACCATTACTAGAATTAATGGTGTCACAAAGAAGGTATAAGTTTAAATTTATCTACAACGAAAACAAAATTAAATTTCCCTTGTTTTGGTAGTAAAATTAAATTTTTTTTTAAATTTCAGAGATCACAAGTAAGCGGTCGATGTGCTGATGTAACAGCTGAAATAACAAGAGCTCTGGGTGTATCAAAACCTATTATTAATTATGTGATATTTTGTCATCAAGAGGAATTTAATTGGCCGTTTGACGAAGGAAAGAAATTAAAAGAAAAATTTGATGAAATATTTGGAACCACAAAATATAATAAAGCTTTGGATAGTTTAAGAACTATTGTAAAAGGACACCTTGGTCAAATTAAAATTTTAAAAGTCGAAAAGGATAAATTTCGTGTTTTAGTCGATGAAGTCAAAGAGAGGGAAAACAAAATTGAAGAAATTAATCAACGCAAATTAAGATCTAATAATAGAATTGAAGAAATAACAAATGAACTTTTACCGTTACAAGAGAAAATTGAAGAAAATGAAAAAAAAGAAATTGAATACAAGAAAATTGTAATGAATGAAGGTGAAATATTGATTAAATTAAAAATATTTAAGTATTAAGTTTTGATTGCAATTCATAAAAAAAATTATTTTTGTTTATAGAAAAAAAGAAAATGGAATTCAATTTAGCAAAAAAAGAAGTTGATAATTTAAAATCAACTATTCATAAAATTTATGATGGTACAACTGATCAATTGAAACAAGATCTTGAAATGGATGAGAGTTTCCTCACTAAGAAAAATGAAGAGATTAAAGAGGTTTTTTTTTGAAAAATAAATTACCTTTCGAAAAATTCTTTTTATATTAATATTAATTTGTTTATTGATTTTAATTTTTAGTTTGAATCGCAAGTGCATTTAGAATCAAAGAAGGAACAAAAATTGACAAATGAGATCGCAGAACAAAGAGTTCAAATTGGAACACTACAGCAAAAAATGGAGGATCACAGTAATAGAATTATTGCTAGAAATTCAATGTTAGAAAAGGCTTTAGTTGCTTTTGAGACGACCATTAAATTAAAAAACAGCACAGAAGATGGTAAAATATATTTTTCAATAATCAAATTATAATTAAATTCAATTTTTAATAAACTAATTGTACCATAACAGAAATTGAAGAATGGATGAAAACGTTGACTGAGAAATTTGAGAAACTAGAAAGTGATATAGAAGAAAGTCGACGGGAAAAAGAACAAAAGGAACAAATTCTTCAAAAAGAAGTTGATAATTTAAGGGCTGAAAAATCGAAAATTGAATCCGTAACAAATGTTCGCGACAAAGAACTGTTAGAAATTCGAAAGGAAATTAAAGTCGTACAATCAGATATTGCAGAGGTATTTATTTAAAAAATTTTTTAAATTATTTTCCCTTTAAAAATTAATTTAAAAAATAATTTTTATTTTTAGGTCGGTGCAGCGGGAACAAAATTAAATGAAATTGAAATGAAACTTAGAGAAGTGAATAATAGATGTGAGGCACTTGGTAAAAAGATGGATATTAATGTTGCTAAAGCAAAGATAAATGAACAAAAGAAAAAGCAAAAGACATTGGACGATGAAATACACAAATTAGATGAAGAGATATCATTGATGCATCAATATAGTTCATTACAAGCCGAACTCGATTTACATAAATCATCTCTTGAATCTAAACAGAAAAATATTCAATCTATTAAAAATAAACATGAGTCGAATATTACAACTTTGTTAAAAATAGACGAAGTACCAATGAAAAAACTCAAGAATAATTTAGATGAAGTTTACCAAACATTGGTTGGTTTAATAATTTTCAATTCTCTTTTAATATTTATAAACTTATATTAATATATAATTTTTTTTTAAATTACAGACAAGAGAGAAGGACAGTTACAATCATAAATTAGAAAGAGAGAAAGTAAATTTAACAAGTTTGCAAGCTTCATTGAAACACGATGAAAATGATTTAATGAAAAAAGAAGAAGAATTAAAGAGTATGTTTTAATTTTAAAAAAATTTATCTAATTTTTAACAAAATTTTCTTTTTTAGGTGATAAAGCCATGGTATCTGTTCATTGTAATTATGAGAATTACGATGATATTGTAGCAGAACAATTAAAGAAGGTAAAAAGTCTTCAGGATGATAGAGGAATGTATGCGTATAAAAAAGCTGCATTTAAAAAATATTTAGAAAAAGTTGATTCAACTGATCCATGTTGTCCATTGTGTAGTCGTGGCTTTCAAAATTCTCAAGAAGCTAAAAAATTATCATCACAAATGAAAAATGAAATGGATACTGTGCCACAAGTTTTAAAAAATTGTGAAGATAAATTAAAAGTCGAACAAAAGAAATATGATTCACTATTACGATTGAAACCGATTGTTGACAAAATTTTGAAATTTGAAGAAACTGATTCAAAACATTGGAAGTATGTAATTTAATGTAATGTAATATTTAATTTAATTCTTTTTTAAATTTAAATAAAAATTATTTTTTATTTACAGGGAAATTATTGAACAAAAAACAAAAAAGTTGAGAGATTCAAAAGTGAGAATTAATGAAATTCGTTCAGCTATGGAAGAACCAGAACGTTTGTTAGTTGTGTGGAAAAATGTAAGCAGCGATATTGTTTTGTGGGATCAATCTTTTAATGAAATCGAGAAAATAAATCGTCAGATTGATTCAGTAAAAAGTCGTATTCCTAGTACAGGTAAATTAAATGATTTTTAAAGATTTATTTATCTTAAATTAATTTCTTATAAATTTTTGTTAAGGAATGAATTTTGATAAAACTATGGACGAGGCGCAACAAGAGAAAAATTCTTTAAGAAACTCAATGAAAGATCTACAAAAGGAGACAGAAAATATGCAAGTTGCATTAGATATTCACAATGAGAAGGTTGAGAAAGCAAAGAGTTTGAGGCTTTCATTGCAAGAGGAAAAATTAAGATTATCCTCAAATATGCAAAAGCTTCAACAATTTCATGATAAAGAAACAGAACTTTCAGCTAAGAAAGAAAAATTATTGAAAGTAATTCAAGAATTTAAACAGGAACTTGTTACAGCTGACGATCGTCTTGAAACTGCAATCGAAAATTTAGATAAAAAGAAGGTAAATTCAATGATTATTTTTATTTTTAAACAACTAATAAAGGTACAAGAAAATGTAATTTAAATTTAATTCTTTTATTTTAGATTCAAAATGCCGAAAGTGCAAGAAATAATAAAATGAAAGTAGACAATGTGTCGAAACGCATTTATGAATTGACTAAAATTCAAAGTGAAATTGAAAATTTTGTTGAAAGTAAAATTGAAGAACAATTACAACGTGTTGAGGAAAGAGTCAAATCATATGACGCAATGATTAAAAATTTAAAGGAAAGTAAAAGTAAATTGGAGAAAAATATTGCAAGTCTTCGCGAAGATATGGTACAGCAGGAATTGAGTAAACGAACTTTGTTGGATAATTTAAAACTTCGAAAAAAAGAAGGCGAATTAGAGAGTTTGAATTTACAATGGGAACATTTGAAAACATCAGTTAAAAATTTCCAAATTGATAGTTTGAGAAAAGTACGAAGAACATTGAAAGAGAACGAAGATAAATTAATTAAAGAGGTAATATCCATGTAAATATAAAAAAAATTATATTTTCGTATTTAAAATTAGAAATTAATAAATTCTTTATAATTAAAATGTTTTAAATATTTTAATTTAATTTTTTTTATTTCAGAAAAGTAATATCGAGGGAATGCAAACTGAGTTAACGAGAAGTATTAGAGACTTAAAGAATCAACTTGAAAAGAAAGAATATAAAGACGCGAATATAAGTTATAAATCCAAAATCGTGGAATTGTTGGTAAGTTTTTTTAATTTTATTTTTGTCATTTGGTATTATTTTTCTCTCATTATTGGTGTTTGCATTAAAATTGCGTATAGGTTACCAATGAAGCAATTGAAAATTTAAGAGCTTACAGCAAAATTCTTGATGCATCAATGATTGATTTTCATGAAGAACGAATGAAAACAGTGAATAAAATAATGGATCGATTATGGCGTAAAGTTTATACTGGACATGATACTTCGACTATTCAAATTCATACAAGTGCAACTGAGGGAGTTGATAGTAATAGAAGAAGTTATAATTATAAATTGGTGCAGAAGAAAAATGGTGTTGAAATGGATATGAAAGGTCGTTGTAGTGCAGGTCAAAGGGTAAATGTTGAATTTATTATAAAAAAGTAATTTCGACTAATTAATAAACAATCATAATTGAAAAAAAAATTTAATAATTAACAAAATTTATTATTTATTTTTTCTATAATTAATAAACCTATTTTTTTGTCATTAGGTTCTGACTTCGATAATAATTCGAATGGCATTGGCTGAAACATTTTGCGGAGATTGCGGTGTAATGGCTTTAGATGAACCCACCACTAATCTCGATGCAGAAAATTCCAAGAGTTTAGCACAAGCTCTTTGCGAGTATGTAAAATTCCATTAATTTTGTTTATAAATTACACAATTTTTTAAATAAGTATCCAAGTAATTTTTTTTTCTTTAGATGAGAAAAAAGAAGAAGTCTCTTTTTCTTATATTAAATAATTGTAAAATATATTCTTATATCAACATTTTTCCACAGTATTTTGCAAGAGTTTTATAAATTTTTTTCCAGAATCGTCGCACAACGTTCAGCAGTTCAAAGGAACTTTCAATTAATCGTTATCAGTCATGATGAACCGTTTATAAATTATTTATTAAGAGATAGCTCTCACAAAACGTATTATGAACTTATGCGATCTCCTGAGTAAGTTTTTTTTTCTATTTTTATGAGAAATTTTAAAAAAGAAAACCAGAAAAATTTTATTTAGGATTAAATCAATTTTACTGATTTTATTTGTGTTTTCTTTGAAAATAGCGGAAGATCTATGATTCAATTGCGTGATAAAAGTGGTAACACTTTGGCGAAACCAATAGCAACATTGGATGAATCCTCTGAAGATGATGATGTTCATGTAGCTACGATTCGAGTGTAAGATTTTTTTTTTTTTTTATTATATATTAAAACTTGTTTTCATTTCGTAAACTTTAATCTAAAATTAAGTGTTTTTCAAATGCACGTCTATTATTAAACTTCGACAATTTATAAGTCTATCAAAGTTTTAAAAAAATTCAAAAAATAATTGTACTAGTTTTTATTCTTTTTTTATACTTCAAAACTTTGTAATATTCAGACTGACGTTCTATAATAAACATATATTTTTCATTAAATTGATTATTTTTTTAATTAAATTGTCACAATTGCTATAGAAAAAATTTAAAAACCTTTTTTTCAAAAATTATTTTCATATTTTTATTAATATTACAAATTAATACAATTAAAATTTATTATTATAAACTAATATGAAAAAATTTCTTTTTTATAATTGAATTCAATGTAAACGCATGCGTGATTTTATAGACATAAGCCAATTGCTCAAGCGCATTGGTTTTCTTTAAATTAGAACGTTCAACAAAATTAAATTAGCTCCTTCAATTAGTTTTGGAAATATATAATAATATAGATTTTACTAAATGCGTAATATATTGTAATTTTTTTTTTTTTTTATTTTTATTTGATAAACGTTGCAAAAAAAAAGAAATGAAAAAACAATTTTTCTAAGGGCGGCGTTTATTATCGATCGCGTGTGGGGGTTTTAGAAGGAATTGAGAGCATGTGTACTTTAACACTCAGAAGTTTGTAACACAAAACATGCTTTATCGAGTTTTATATGTCATCATTAATATTTTTACATTATTTCAATTTTTATTTGGTGAAAGTATTATAACAAAAAATGAAAAGCTACCTGATATCGAATTGCAGACATGCGTCGATAGTTTTGTTATTCATAGGGATAAAATTATCAGAACCTTGGATTCACAAGAAATGGGTGCAAAATATTTAACAGAAATTGATGTAAACTCAGAAAATGAGTGCATTAAATTTTGTTGTGTAACCGATCAGTGCGACGTTTTCATTTTTGAAGAAAAAGTGAGTTTTTGAAATATTTTTTGTTTGTTTTTAAATATAATTCAAACTTAATTATTGTTTTAATATTCAAAAATTTATATTAATTATTTTTTACGTTAATTATATTTTTTATGAAAAATTTTAATTGGCTTATATTATTAAGATTTATTTATTGTTTACCTTTTAGAAGCCGGGAAGCTGTTATCTTTTCCATTGTGGTCCTCCTCAAGATTTTAAATGCAAATTTACAGATCACGCTAATTATAGCAGTGCAGTGCTTACAAATTACAAACCGCCGACAGTTTTACAATTAGAAGAGCAAGTTCGAAAAACTCCAGAACATGAACTTAAATCGCTCAGGTAATAATAATACTTTAATAAATAATTAATATACATATTGAATTTATTATATTTTCTTGCAAAAATAGAAAACAAACTAATCCGGGCCTTAAGGAATATTCCTACAACGAACTTCCGGCGGTTGCAGCTACGCAGATAACGAAAACGTCCACTGTGACGAGTCCAGCACCTGTTAAAATTGGTATGAGTATTTAAATTTATTAAAATCAAGTATCAAATTTTAAATGAAAGTTTTTTTTTAGAATGTAGTCGAAATCAGTTTGAATGTCGAACGTCAGGCGATTGTATAGCAATTTATAATGTCTGTGATGGAATTCCTCAATGTCCGGATGGTTCTGACGAAGGAGCTGAACTTCATTGTCCAACGGAAAAACCATCACCAACATCGCCGCCTGTAATTGAACAAAAACCGATGCTTCCCTCATTACCCGATGTCTTAAGATATCAACAAATGCTCCAGCATCATAAATCTTATGCACCCATGTACGGTCATGTACAAGAGAGTAATTCAAAATCATGGCAATCTTCCGGATCTACACATCAAGGAATACCTCCACAACAACAAAATCTTCCCTATTTAGCTGATCAAGACAATCCATCTCAGCACACAAATTTTGGATCACAGAATTATCCATGGAATTATCAGCCATATTATGATCAAAATAAAGAAAATTTCGGTGGTTATAATTATCATGAGCAGAATAATCCTGTTTATGAACGTAAGAATTCTTTTTCTTTTTAAATGCAGAATATTTTAGTATTATAGTTCATTAAATTTTTGAATTTCAGAACAATCTCATATATTCAATCATAAAAGACCGGGAATTATAGATGAAAATCCGTCAGATGGGTATGTAATTCAAAAATAATAATTAATTTAAAAAAAAAAATTAATTCTATTAATTTCCCAAAACAGTGGAGTTTATACAGATCAAAATAGACAATTTTTACCGTATTATCAACAATCTAATCACGAGTCTTGGCAAGAAAAACAACCACCTCAACCTTCGGTTCCTCAGCTTGAGCAGCACATTGAACCTGAAGTTTCACAAGAAAAAACAAAATCGACCACAACACCTCAACCTTGTAAAGTAAGATCAATTTTACATTAATAATTCAATATTTAATTAATTTATTATCGTAAAAAATTTTTCGTTAAAGTTTAAAAAAATGTAGTCTATTTTTTAATGTAAAAACATATTTTATTAATAAAGTGTATTTCAGATTTCCGGAAAGGATACAAATGTCACAAAGATTGATGATAGCCATATAATAAAGAATAATGGGAAAAATACAAAAATTGTAGATAAAAGTCAGAATAATGAAGATTCTTTAAAGACAAAATCAATTGTCAAGGCAGAGACAAATATAAAAATTATTGAAATTAATAAAGGTGAATTATAATTTAATTAAAATTTAAGTAGATATAATTAAACAGTTTTTACAAATTAATTCTAAATATAACTAAGAATTTATTTTTATTTCAGATTCTAAAGTAGATCATAAGATATCGGAAGAACAATTAAAGGAAACAAAAAAAGAAAGTTTGGTCGCTCAGCATTTTCGTCATAATAATAGCGTTAATGAAAATTTAAGACCAAAAGGAGCAGTAATATCACTTGTTTTGGGATTATCAGTTTCTGCAGTTATGGCTATTTTAATAGCATGTAGATTACGAGTAGTTAGAAGAAGAGGTCGTCGTGGACATGAACCATATGCCCACGACGCAGACTATTTAGTTAATGGAATGTACCTTTAATTAAATAAAAATTTACAAATATTTTCATACATTAAACTTTAAATATTTTAAAAGAAAACTATTTTCAACTGTCAAATTTAATTACAAAAAAAAAAAACAATGCGAATCAAACTTATATATAAAAACTTTTTCCCGATTATTATATTAGCTCAATGCTTCGTATATTCATTTTTAATATATTATTTTCTGTCATTAATTCGTTTATTTTTTAAATTTTTTGTTTCGAGCTTTATATAATAACAAATATATATATTAAAAATTTATTGAATTGTAAAAACAATTCAAACTCTCGTTGCACTTTAAGGCTAAAAGTTAATAATATTTAGCCTATTAATAAATGTACAAAACTTTGTTAAATTTTAATAAAGAATTTTCAAAAATATACGATTTTGTATTAAATTAAACAAATTCTTAATATTTCTCTACAATTAAAATATTAAATAATTAAACACATCTTAAAACATTAAACATTAAACATAACCCCTAATTGTAATTTAATTAATTTTTAAACATTTTTTAATTATTAAATTTAAATTAAATTCATTATACATCGGAAATGAAGTTTTTAAATTCAAATTTGATCACCAACCTGAAGTTAGCGTCACGATTTTTCTGATTGGTGGATAAGTTCTAAGCCAGCCAATCAGAATCATGGAAGTGTTCTTATCGAGATAGGCCTATATCGAGAGAACGATTTTTTTCGACTCATTATTCTGTTCAACCGCCAAAAAAGTTCACGTTAAAATTGGAAAAAGTGTTAAGAGAACAGTTTTATTACTAATTAGTCAATAATTTTTAGTAAATGTACATAATTGTAGTATTTGTGTGAATATATTTCAAAGTGACAAGTGTATTTAATGAAAAAAGTGTCAAACAAACGAACTTCGTCATAAAATTGGAGATAGTTTTCAATCGTGCTACTGGCTCTGATCATTTTTCTAAAATGGTGAGTTATAAAAACTATTTTTTTCACATTCGGTTGCTATTTTGGAATTTTTTAACATTTTTTAGTAAATGTATACTTAAAACGAAATAAGAATTCATTTTTCTTGTTTTTATAAGTCGTTAGAATTAAGGTTATGTTAATCACGTAGGTTGGCGCCAAACCCTCAGATCTATACAGAACATACAAAATGTTTAAAAAGTTAATGAAATATTAATTATAATCCTCAATCAGGGATAAAACAGGAACCCCCTTTTCCTGCCCCCCTTTGAAAATAGTTATTAGGAATAATTACTGAAAAAAAAATTCGTTTTTAAGTACTGTTTTGTACGAAAAATTTAATTTATAACAAAATCTTTTGTTTCAAGGTAATTTGTTTCAAAAATAACTCAATTAAATATAGTAACTTGTTAATAACCAAACATTTTATTAAATTTTTTCCAAACAATTCGTACGGGCGTATTTGATGCCCCTTTTTTTTAAATACAATTTATTTAAAATTTTTTCTCTGACATGTTTAGTATTTTTTTTTATATAATTCGTAAATACTTAATTAGTATAAGGTTAACACAATTATTATTTTCGAAAACATTCGAGGGCAAGAAAAACGTTTTTTAAAAATCAAAATATTTTTAAATAAATTTTCATTAAACATAAAAGATAAATATATATTTTTTTTCATTTCAACTGATTTATAAGATTTGTAAATTTAAGTAAGTTTTTAAGGAGCGTCATTTTAATAATACTTTTTTTTAAATTTACAACATAACTAAGTATCAATCTTTTTTTGTGTATAAGTGTTTTGCAATTGGGAACTTTGTTTTTCATTTAAAGAGAAAATCATACTAAAAACGAAACACTCGTCTAAAAGTGCGGACTAGAATGACGCTTCATTCATCATTTTCATCTCACAAATCACATCGTTTTAAAACACAATTTAGTGTTTTTTTTTTTTTTTTTTTTTTTTTTTTACTAAACATGCATACCTTATGTACTAATATGGCAAACTATAATTTTTTTAAGTTGTAATAAAAATCCCTAGAGATCAACTTTTTGGGATTATAATAATTGCTTGGTGTTTTAGCTTTGTTTTGTTTTTTTTTTTTCGTTAAACTAGTGTATTCGATAGGCGTTAAAACCCGAGAATTGCCAACGTCTTTCCATATTGGCACCAATTCCTGATAATTCTTGTTTAAATACTTGTGGAAATCTTTGCATTAATAATTCCACTTCATTTGGTCGTATTCCCGGTTCCATTTTTTGTAAATACGACCAAACATAATCGACACTAGCACCGAATGGATGGATATGTAAAAATGTCGCAATAAGTCCTAAAATAAGAAAAAAAAGTACTTTAGTTTCATTAAAAAATAATAATTTTCTTTTTAGATAGAAAATTACCTATAAGTTTTGCATCTTTTTGTGTAATTTGAATTGATCCAGAAGATGATGTTAGATGTTTTGGTGTTCTTGGTTCATCATTAACATCATCATCTTTATCCAATGTTATTATTTCACTTTCAGGTGGTTCCTCTTTTTTCGTGGCATTCAATTTTAGTATTAGATCCTTTATTTTTTGATCGTCCTGAGCTTGTTGTTTTCGCGATTGCATTAATTGTTCCTGCATTCCTTTTAATGTTTGCTGTAACATTTTCATTTGCTTTTCTTTGCCGTCTATCTCATTTTTTGTTTCTGATTTCAATAGATCCACCTGTTTGAATAAATATAAAAATGTAATTTTTTTTTCTATAATCGAATTTTTTAAATGATTTTTTTTATTGTACCTCGTTCTTGTATGCTTCTAGTTGACATCTCAAACTGTCATTTTCTTCCTTTAATATTTGAACTCTCTCAATATCCTCATGATTGTCAATTAGATTTTTTTGCTTCTTTCGTTGTGGCTCATCCTCGGAATCTGAAACTTCCATTTCTCCCTCGCCTTCCATGAGAGCATCTTCCAATTGAACTGCTTTTATTTCCTGTTGTTTTGAAAAATACTTTAGTACATATTCTCAATATGTTGATTAGTCTTGATAAATACATGCATCATTTACATTAAATGCTTATTGCGTTAATTGGGAGCAATTTTTTTTTTTTAATTATTCTTGTACAAAAACTTAATTTTACTTGAAGCATTGCACGAACACACACCCTTTTCTGTATTTCAGAGGCCTAATTCCTACATTCCAGGTAATTTTTTTTTTTTTTTTTTGAAGTTCAAGTTTTTATAATTTAGATATTATCTTACCTTACTATCCTTAAACTCTGAAGTACAGAAATATTATTTTCGATAAAAGAAACGTGAAAGCTGCTAACTCCCTTGAGGAATCCATGCCACGTTTTTGAAAATTTTAATTTTACAAATTCTAAACTTTAATGTTATTTTACCTTGTGCGTTAATTATCTACGATTATTTTTTTTTCATTTTATTTCTACTGTTACCTCTTCTTGTCTTATTCTTTTTTTTTTTGTTTGTTCTACTACTTTCTATTACCGAGAAAAGTTGTAATTGTAGCAGAAAGCGTGTGTCTGACTGTCCCGAAAGCTTCTTTTTTGCCTAATCACTTACCTGCATGAGACTGCATTCAAAAATTTTGTTTAACAAAACAAACGAGAGTGGGATGAAACGTATGAGGCAAGATTTTTTATTTTGCTTGCGTATGATAACATTTTCATATGATGCAACTTGGATGTGGCAATTTGTTCTGTCCTTATAAATGTTTTTTTTGTTTTTGTCTTTTAGCAAAAAAAACGCTAAAATTTCGAAATCTTAATGCAAATACATACCGATGATTGTTTCTTCCACATTTCAATGTTCTTCCGTTGTGCCTTGGTGAAGTGATCCCAAACCTTCTTGTGGCTGGCAGCAGTAAAAACTCGTTCGATCTGACTGACTGTCGATGACACGGATGTCGCATGTCGCATACAAAAACACAACAAATCCTCTATTGTACACCCTGCTTTAAATTTTCTACTAAATTTGTTCTAATTTGATCTATTTCCCATTTTATTATCCAAAAAATATGCAAATTCATCAAAACAAAAAAAAAAATAATTTCTCATATTGCAAAAAAAGAATTATAGTTTTCTTTTAATGGATTGGTTTCGTGTTTTCTTTCTTTTGAAAAGCAGTTTATCAATAGAAAAGTTAAAAAAAAGAAACTAAAAACAGAAATTTAAACATCTTTATGGTAATTCATCTGTTTCTGATTATCTAAAAGTTATTGTTGAACATTTGTTAAAAATATTTCTCTTGAAAAAAAAAATTTCTTTACCAGTTAATAAAACAGAAAAGAAATTTAAAAAATCATATTTTTTTAAAAATCACTTCAAGATTCTTTCAACAGATTAATTACCTTATTTTTAATTATCATTTTTTTTCTGCATGCCTTTTGGAGCATCATCGTGGTCATTTTTTTTTCAAAGCACAGTCACAGTCATCGTTTAATGTGAAAAAAAAATTCTCAGTACCGATTATTATGATTTTCATTTGCATTCTCCATCTTTAAGCCGAAATTAAAAGACAATTTCAAATTATTATATACAAATACAAATTGAAATATTAATAAGGATACTAATATTTTTTTTCTTTTGAAATTTATTATAATTTAAAATTGTCTTTATTTATAATGTCCCAACACCTTTTGTTAATCCTTAACATGCAACTGGAAAGTATCTGTAAAATTTTTTGAAAAAAAAAAAAACGGTATCTCCATGTTGGTTGATTGGTACCTAAAACCGGAAGTCAGCATTCTTCACCCACCTTTTTTTTAACTCCAATTTTCCCGCGAACTCTTCTAGATGACATTTTTTTTTTTTTTTTTTGAAATGCACTTTTGAAAGCACAAAGCGCCAAACCATGTACCTTATTTTATACTGTCTTACGCATTTTATTTTTCTTAAAGATTCCTTACTTTTTTTTTGTCGAGACATTTAAAAATATTCTTTTAATTATATTAAATTATCTCTCCTAGTTTCTTTTTTTAACATTATAAGCAGCGCACGTCACCTTATCTTTTTCTGAACTTCACTCAATGATATATAAAATATAATATACAATATATATATAAATATAAAAAAAGCATGGAGCAAATATAAAAATTTATATTCAGAGATATTTTACAAAAAAAAATTATTAAAACAATAAATTAAATTTCAATTTATTTTCAATAAGACTGAATTTTTAGAACAAAAAAAAAATTTTTTTTAGCCAAAGCTTTTGTTTCAAGACCCAAATCACATGCAACGTGCGTTTTTTTTTTGGTTTGCAACTATATTTTGAAAAAATGCAATTCTCCCTCCCCAAGAGATTAATTTAATTGACCCCTGTATTTTTTTTTTTTTTTTTTTTTTTTTTTTTTGAAATTCCGCATTAAGATTAAATGTAAAACAGAAAAATACCAATTTTCATTGTCAAATCGTTGAATTTTTGGAATAAAGAAAGATGTTGTCTGAAAAGAAAAAATAAGTCATAGATTTGATGCGCTGACTTTGTCCAATGACGCTTCGATCTCTTGCTATTGATGACACTTACCAGAAAAATCGTTACTTATTGCTGATATGGATTTGCAAACATGGCAAAGATATACAGTACTAGAGCTAATCTAAATAAATAGAAAAATATTTTCAACATACATTGTATTAAAAGTCCTTGCATTCTTCCCTTCATGAGTTCCTTTGCTTTCTGCAATTCTTCCTCGTACAATGCCTTCTCGGAAAGTAATCGACGAACATGAGAATTTGTTGATTGAATCATTGAATAAAATGTATTCGCATTTCGTTTCGTACAATCTCCACGTTCAAGCCAAGTAACAACAACCTTGAAAAAAACACTTTAGTTACTAATTTTCAATAGAGAATTTAGAATTTAAAAATTCAAATTCCCAACCTGTACGGCTTTCATGAAGGTGTCGTCTTGTTTAATTTTTTCGCAAACATTTGACGCTTCATGATCAGTATAATGAACAACTGGAGGTGGACTAGAAGGTGGTCTTTGTCTTTCTTTTTCGACTCGTTCCCTGTGACGTTGCTCTCTTTGTAATTGTCTTTGTCTACACTCCCATTCATATTGATCGTCTCTTGCCTAGATAATAATTTATTTATTATTTTTCCATTCGTTATGAAAAACATTTTTCAAAAATAATAATTCTCACCTGAGCAAAGTCTACATGAAGTCTACCTGTGTTGGCAGCATCACCATTTGATCCTATTCTTACTCTATATCCCGATAGATATATTGCTGCATCAACACTTGCTTCTAAAACAAAACGTATGTGACAGAAATTTTTCTTCGATAGTCGCAATGTTGTTATTTCTCCACAACGTTCAAATATTTCCTGTATAATTGTCTCCGATATGTTTTCAGGTAATCCTAAAAAAAAATAATTGAATTACATTTATTCAAAGAAATGGAAATTATGGTTCATGTAAAATTTTCCTCACCACCAACGAAAATTGTGCGACAACCTGGCGGTCTTTCTCTTGTAGTCGGTGGTGGTGCATTTGGATTTGGTGGGAATAATGTGCAACTTTTACAATGTATAATTTCTTTGGTGTTTTGTGTTAATGGCGATGGTGGTGGTGGTAATGCACTTGTTATTAATTGAGCTGCAGTATCAGTTATTATTTGTTCTGGACCAAGCATTTGTGCACTCATTATTGCTCCCTCATGTGACATCATACTCATTCCCATTGGTCCATAACCATGAGCGTGTCCAATATGAGGTCCCAATGTCATTTCACCCATCATTGGACCCATTGGACCCATTCCCATCATTGGATAACCAACACCTATACTCCAAACACTTGGCGATGGTTCAATTTGAGCTCCAATTGTTGTTGTTGTTGTTGTGCTACTCGTTGCATTGTGTGTTCCTGTAACTTCATTTCCATTTGAATTTACTAATGTTGTACTATTATTTGATAAATTTGCATTGTTTCTCTCCTCAGTTGTTCGTCTTTCATCTCTTCTATCGCGTTCATTTCTCTCATCACGCCTGTCTCGATCTCTTTCACGTCGATCGTTTCGATCTCCTCGCGATCTGTATATAAAAAAGAAAAATTATTATCAATTTCATTAATTTTCTAATAATTATTATAAAAATAATTAACCTTCTACTATTGTCGCGATTTTCTCTTGTTTCCCTTGCATCACGTTCCTTACGATTATTATCATTTTTCTCAATTCTTCTCTCATTACTTTCATCAGTACTTTCACGAACGATTGGAGGTTGATTTTTGTTTGTGCTAAATTCAAGTGGAGAATCATTCATGCCGGGCAAAGGTAATGGTGGCAGGGGAGGAAATCCTTGACTAGCTAATTCCATAAAACTTTGTGGACCAGGAATTGGGCCTAAAGGTCCCATTGCACCCATGCCTGTTTAAGAAAAAAAAAGAATTTAATGTAACCCCTCCCTTTCTCTAAAATCAGTGGTATTTTTCTCATTGACATCTCTAAAAATAAAGGTTAATAATAAATTTAAAAAAATGCCTCGTAAAAAAAATATTTTCATATTCTTTCTAAATTTATATTTAAATAATATCAAGGTGTAATAATTTTCGAATTGTCGCAAAAAATGTTGAATTTAGAGGTAAATTTGGTGTGATGACATTAATTAATATTTACCCATTGGTGGCATAGGTGTTGCAGGCATTCCAGGAAAATTGTAGGCCATCTTTCACCTTTTTTGATACTGTTTAATATTACTTTAATTTTAATGCATATGCAGCGCGCAATTGCATATACCATTTATTATATGTCAAACTACGTCAATATGACAATCAGTTCTATTTGAGGTTAAGCAACTGTTCCTCTTTAACTTTGTCGGTAATTTATATTTGAAATTTTACTTTATCATCGAAATGATGAATAAAAGAAATCTACTTTATCTTATGTATAAAATTATAATTTATTTTCTCACCACTAGAGGCAGCATGTGTTTATAATTTAAATTTCAAATTTAGAAAAAGAATTTAAATTATAAAAATTTACAATTCAATAATATTAACATAAATAAAAAATAAATAATTATGAATAAATAAAAATAAATATTTTCTAAATATTAGACATTACGCCTTTTGTGGCATAATTTTTTCTAATTATTTTTCTAATTATTCCACCTTGATTTTTGAGTTTTTTTTTTTGTTTAAAAATTTTTAAAATTGATATTCGTGTAATATTTTTTTATATTCCAGAATATAAGCATTAAATTTCTGAATTTAAATAAAAACTAAAAATTATATTTCCGAGGAAATATATATCTTTGATTTAAAAAACTGAGAAATTTTTCTTTACCTTCATTTTAATAACAATATAATAATAATTATGATTAAATATAATAAACAGAAAAAAAAATTTATTTGATTCGAATAATCTATTACTTGATTATTATCAAATAAATATTTACTTGAACCAAATAATTTTTCTTTGAATTAAATAAATTGTATTTGAACCAATAATTTCTGTATTTGAAACAAATGAATCAAATAATAATTATTTGTTTCAAGTAAATATTTATTTGATTATAGTCAAGTAACCGATTATTTGAATCAAATAAAAAAATTTTTTTTTTCAGTGCAAGTGAAAATAAGACGACATAAGTTTACGCAACATAAAAAAAAAAAAAATAATTGAAAAGCAACGGATGTAGATGAAAAAAAGAAATGCTGTCAGAATGAAAAAAAAAATGAAGCAAGACGAAGACTCATTTACTTTTCAGTAATATTCTTTTCTTAATATACGTTAGGTATAATATTGTCATTAAATATCGTCATCATCGTTCTCGTTCAGTGATATATGCATCGTGGGTGGCTATACCACGTACAATATATTATTTCTCATTCAGTTATTATTTTATTTTTTTTTTTTTTTTAAAAAGAGTCTTGAGCATAAATTAAATATGAACAATTACTCTGTTTTGTAAGTCGAATTATATTGAAATTCGATACGTTTGCCGTTCTCAACTCAAACGGTAGCTGATGTGAGTGTTCAATACCCATCATTTTTAAAGGTGAAGTTCCAATAGGTATCGTTTATTCGTTATTTAAATTTTTTTTTTGTTTCGAAACAAGAGAGTCATTTGAATTTGTATGTTAAAAAAAAAGAATGCGCGAGGAATTACCGAAAGTCGAGTTCTTCGAATAAGCAATTGAAAGAGAAATGGGAATTTTTGTTGTTAAAAATTTCCCCTTAATATTAATTTTATTATTTATTATTATTTATTTATCCATGAACACCTTGTTATTAATTTTATTCAAAATTGTTATTTTTTTAGATTTTCTTTATTTACGCAAAAATATAAATTAAAAAAATTTTTGTTTATACAAAATGTATATTTTTCTCGCAAGAGTTAAATATTTATTTCTTAAAAAAATAAATTTATTTAGCAGAAATAGAAATTTATTTGGCACAAATAGAAATTTGATTGGCACAAATAAATATTTATTTCTTTGAAACAAAAATTATTTAGCACAAATGAAATTTTATTTGAATCAAATAAATATTTACTTGCTGCATAAATAAAATTCTATTTGTGCTGAATAAATTTTATTTGAAATAAAAATGTTATATATATATATATGACAAAATAAAATTTTTATTTACGCCAAATAAATGGCCTCGTGGGCTCTGATACAAATATATATACATTTATTTAATTCAAATATATTATATTTGGTTTAAATAAAACATTTCTGTAGGATATAAAAAAGTTTATTTGATTCAAGTATAATCGGTTTCTTTAATTTAAATAAAAATTATTCGGTTCAAGTAAATATTTATTTGATAATTGTTAAGTAATCGATTATACTTGAATCAAATAAATTTTATTTTCTTTAGTATAAAATATATTTCACGAAAAAAAAAAAGTTAGAGCGAAAGTTTTCACTATAGAATAATAAAAGATGTAATTGAAGCAATATTAAAACTTTTGCTATTCTGACACCTTTCGCTGTTCCAGATAAAGCTTTTATCCGTGTTGAAAAAAGGAAAATTAAAGAATATTTATTATTATTATTATTATTAAATGTTTTGAATTTACCATTTCAATTAATTAAATTTGTTTTTATTAATAAAAATTAATAAAAAAGAATTAAATACAATTAATTAATCTACATGAAGCTTAAATAAATGTTCTCTTTATGTTTCAGAAATTGTGTTTTTTTCCCCCCCTCTTGAAGACGGTGTATGACAACGGTTGAGTGTGTAATAATGTCGTTAAAGCATTAAAAAGGCAGTGGAAGATATACCCATAAGGAGAAGCGAAGCGAGTAAATCGGCTTATATTATTGGAAGTTGATGCATATATGAGGTGAGAGACCACAGACTGTTTTTGTATCGCTTAAGCTAATGACGCACAGATGGTGATATTATTGTGCGTATATATATATAAGGTGGGATGGTTTCTGAATCGAGCAAGGTGGCTGAAAGCCAAAGCAAAAGGGTTTCGTTTGGTTTGATTCTATCTTGTCCAGCCGGTGCCGCGCGGCTACTGCGAGATCTTATCATGGTTGCACTCCTTTTAACCCAACTCAATGTTAAAATGCATGTTCACTTTTGGAACGTGCAGATGCATATACATATATATATGTTCTTCTTTAATATCTACCTGTTAGTATATCACATTTTCATCTTTGAAAAAAAAAAAATTCCAATAACACATTGTGTTTCATGCCTCTCTCTATATAATTTCAAAAGTTGTAGCAAAAAACTTAACAAGTATTAGATAATTGTTATGGAATTTAAAATCTTGCTTTAAATTATCGGTATACAGTTCGATACCGAATTGAAAAAAAATTTATTTGATTCAAATATAATTGGTTACTTGACTATAAGAAGAGAAATATTTTATTTGAAATAAATATAGTGAATTTTAGTTAAATATATATATATATATATATATTTGTTTTAGAGTCTAATAACTTTTTTATTGTAAATAAAAATTTTATTTGTCATAAATGAAAATTTTATTTTAAATCAAAAAAAAAAAAAAATTTATTTAAAACAACTCTCAGAGAAATGGTATATTTGTTTCCGAGCCTACTAACTCATTTATTTGTTGCAAATATATTTTATTTCATTGAAATAAAAAATTTATTTGAGCCAAAGAAAAATTTATTTCTGACAAATAAAATTTTTATTTACGCCAAATAAATAAGTTAGTAGGTTCTGAGATAAATATACATTTATTTAACTCAAATATATTTTATTTAGTTCAAATAAATCATTTTTCTGGGTGTAATAATTTTTGTATTTGAAACAAATATTATTTAATTGACTAATAATATAATTATTTAATAAAAATAAATATTTATTTAATAAAAATAAATATTTATTTAATAATATAGAGAAATATTTATATCAGAGCCAAATAAATATTTATTTGAGTTTAGTAAAAAATTTTATTTGTTTTAAATAAATTTTATTTGAGTTCAGTAAAAAATTTCATTTCTTTCATATAAATTTCATTTGAGTTAAATAAAAATTTTATTTGCGCTAAATAAAAATTTTATTTGTGCTAAATATAAATTTTTTTTTTATTGAAAACAAATATTAATAAGTTATTAGACTTTGAGACAAATATATATTTTTTTTTTGCTTCAAATAAATTTTATTTGTCACAAATAAACGCCATAATAAAATATTTCTCTTTTAAACCTCTTATGTAAATTTTGGTAAATTATTTTTTGTATCTTCTTTATGAAGAAAGAACTTTATTCTGTAAAACCACATTTATTTTCTTAACACCTTAATCAAAATTAAAATACAGAAACTTGACACTAATATGAGGATATGTGATATGCATGAAAAAGATGATTCACGAATAGTAGTTTATTTGAAGGCTGTGGTCTACATTGTAGCTGGCAACACGATTCGAAATTTGAAATTTAACCCTGCTGTAATGTTAGCGTGGATGAGAGCACTGAAGTGCATGTTCATAGGCTTTGACAACTGGTTTTTATAATCTTTTTTTATAATTTTTTTTTTTTAATAATCTTTTTTTAATATAATTTTTTTAATAATTTTTTAAATAATTTTTTAAATAATTTTTTTAATACTTTTTTTTTAAAAAATAATTTTTAATAATCTTCAATTATTTGAAATCAATTATAATTAATTAATAAAATAATAAATAATAATAATTGATAAAATTGTTGACATTTAATAATTATTTATGATAACAATTTTATTACCCGTACAATTTTATTGCTAATAAATATTTATTTGATTTAAAAAAAAAATTTTAATTACGCCAAATAAATAGGCTGTGAGAAAAATATACTTTTATTTAAGCCAAATATATTATATTTGGTTAAAATATAACATTTTTCTGGGTGTAGATTTAGAATTTAAATTAAATTTAACTTGTCAGGTTAATT